CCCCAAAACCCCAAAACCCCAAAACCCCAAAACCCCATAATGGACAAAAAGTTAAAGATTTAGTTATTTTATATTAGCAGTATGGAGAAGTCTGGTGATGAGTCAGATCTTGAATTTGTGGATGTGGGTGAAGCATGCGAAGGTAAAAAAAGAGGAGGGATTAGGGTGTTTTGGAGGTGTTCTAAGGCGATAAGGCGAAATTTTGGACTAGGGGGTGTGAGTTTGGTTGCTTGGAGAAAAGTTTAAGAAAAATTAGGTATGAAAGATTTAAAAATTATGGTGAAAGAGGAAAAATATGCTAAAGGCTGCTAGAGAGCTACTCTTGTTCTTTCATTTGTCTTTTTATACAATAAGTTTAGCCTCTCTTTAGTTATTATACCAAAAAATAGTATTATCGATTTCAAGTTTTTAAATCGTTCGCTGATTAATATCAAAGAAATAATACTAAACTTTATTACGAGTTGGAGCGTTTAGAAAAAGTCTCTTTAAATTTGAGAGATTTCTTACTCCTCATTATTTTCAAAATTTATCAGGTCCGCATTCAAAGGACCATTCTCATTCAGAAATTTAGGTGTAATTGATGGACCACCAAGTTTTGAAGAAGAATTAGATCCTTCTGAATCAGTTACCAAATGAGAAGGATTCAGTTTAAAACTGAGCCAATTGATTAACACAAATCATGATGTGCAACTGAGCAAAAGTCAGAGCCACCAAGTTAGTTTGAGTAAGTTACCAAGCCTCCAAGTTTCTGCTAAAGACCTAACCTGAGTCTGCTCGACGTTTGTACTCTTATTATTGAATATTAATTTGTTTTGATGTAGACAACAAGGACTCTATGATAGAGAAGGCGGAAGGGAAAGTTCAGAGGTTTTTGGATGACCCTGAAGAAGAGAAAGCAGAGTCCTTTGAGTAAGTTTTGGAACCTGAGATAGTAGTAGCGAGGATATTGATAAAATTGAGGCAGAAAGTGAAGAGGAAGCTAGCCCTACTTTTGGGTCTATTGAAGAGAATTTTACTGGTGTTGAATCTCAAAATTTTGGGAAAGAATTACCAAGTTTTTTTGTTGAGAATCAAGCAGAAAAGCTGATTTTTCCTCTTAGTGATGTTAAGGCTATTGATAATAATGAAGGAAAACTCTATACAGGCACTATTTTAGTGACGAGATACAAAATTGTATTCATGCCAAAAGATGATAACGAAGATAACTACGACTATATTTCAGGGCCTGTGCAGGATGGAACATATAACTCAGCCTGTGATTCTTTTGAGAAGATCCAAAGAGAGGTTGTTCCTACATATAAAAAGAGGTTCTTTAATATTCCTGTTCATATGCTGCGAAGAGTATATTTTGATTATGAAAAATAGCAACATTCACCATGCATATGTCTGAATAGAGACGAAGGATTATAGGGAGATGAGATTCATAGTCCAAGATCATAATGAGGCCAAAAGGCAATGAGACAAAATAAAAAAGGTTGCTTTTCCAAATATTTTGTGTAAAGACGTCTTCGCACTGAAGTACTTATACGAAAATATTACTAGAGATGGTTTCTTCCAATCGAAGCTGAACCTCCCTCTTGATGGCTGGGACATTTATGACATGAAAAAGGAATATATGAGGCAAGGTGTTGATGAAACTAGTCAAAAATTTAGGGCTATCAGCTGTTGGGATCTTGCAGATGCCAGTAATATCTGTGAGACATATCCTGAATATGTCTTCATTCCAAAATTAATGAGCAGGATGAAGATGACTAAGTGAGCCAAATTTAGGGCCAAAAGAAGATTTCCTGCCTTAAGCTACTTTTATAAAGAAAAAGGCTCATCTTTATGGAGGAGTGCACAAAATAATACAGGCTTATTATACAAGAGATGAACTGAAGATGAAGAAATGCTCAAGTATATTGGATTAGCGAATGAGTATACCCCCACAGTGAGCATCTATGATGCTAGATCAAGTGTCAAGGCGATGTCTAATAAATTTAAAGGCGGTGGTTATGAAAATACAGATTATTATAAGAACTGCTTGATTAGATTTTGAGGAATTGAAAATATTTTTGCAGTAGAATCTGCATTTGAGAAGATGTGGTTTGCTTTAAAATCAAATAAAACGTTGCAGAATAATCAGACAATATATTCAGCTATTGAGAGTTCAAATTGGTATAACTTAATAAGCACAATTCTAGAGAGTGCAAATCAGATAGTAGACGATATGCACATAAGCAAAAAATCAGTTCTTGTCCATTGAAGTGATGGATGGGATAGGACAGCTCAAATGGCTGGGCTTGCTCAGATCATGCTAGACCCTTATTCTCGTACAATTGAGGGATTCGAAGTCATAATCGAGAAAGAGTTCCTCGCATTTGGACACTCTTTTGACCATCGACTCGGAACTCTTTGTGATGAAAAGCATAAAAATAAAAAGAGATCGCCTATATTTGTTCAATTCCTTGATTGTGTATATCAGTGATTACAACAGAACCCTACTGCATTCCAATTCAATGTGAATTTCCTTTGTTTTGTAGCATACCATGCATACAGTTGAAAGTTTGGAACTTTTCTACTTGATAATCAAAAATATCGAAAGAACAATGATCTTTCAAAGAAAACTGTGTCTATCTGGACGTATATGAACGACAGAGTTGAGAAGTTCTATAATCCATTCTATGATTCCTCAACAACTGGTGTCTTAAAAATCAGATCTGATCCAATATCTCTAATGCTATGGAGAGAATACTTCTTGAAATGGACTTCTCTGTCACAAATGGGAGAAGATGAGGACATCTTTGCTCTCCCTGATCCTAGAGAAGATGCCATGATGAAAGCTCTAATGGAAAAGGAGAGGAATGAGACTGACAGACCTGTTCGAATTGATGATACCACTAAGTCTTAGGTATTCTCATATTATTTCAAGTTTCTATTCATTAGTACTAAACTGGGGTTTTGGGGTTTTGGGGTTTTGGGGTTTTGGGGTTTTGGGGTTTTGGG